ATAGTCTTAAACATTCATTAATGTTACAAGCAATGGGGGCGTGATGGTGACGCTGCTCACTTTATACTCTTTCCTGCTCGCCTTAGTAAATGTGTTATGTTTTTTTTTTTTTTTACTTTTGTATTTGTGATCCGATCTTTGTTGAGATATCAACAAAGGTAATAGTTACAGAAAACTCCTTCTCCTCAGGCCCGGTTCTAGAGGATAATGACAAATGGTGCATCTGAGATTAAAGGCGGCACAGCTACAGTGACCGATGTTATGGGTCATGATGTACCTGTAATGACCATCACATCATGGATGTTATGAACACAATCTGAGTCATTGTTGTCATTTGAAAGCCTTGATTACTCATTTATTTATTTGCATCCATTCAATTGAGGGTGCAGAAATTAAAAGGGTGCAATGAATCCTTCCCCCCCCCAGCTAGCTTCTCCTCCTCCTGCACTCAGCACCAAGCTGCCTCCTTCCTTCACCTGAACCAATCAGAGTATTTTGAGCTCTGAGAGCACGAATGACAACAACAATGTCCTGCTGTGTAGAACATCTGTGAGAGGAAAGTCTAAAAAATGTCAGGTCCTACTTTACATGCATAAGCAAGTTAAAAAAGTGACAGTGATGAAGCGGTCTCAGTTGTATCAGCCAGTCTATCACACACTAATGCAGTACTGAAATGCTCAAAGGTGCGTTAACTCAGACAAAAAGAAAACACACACAAGTGCATATTCACACATGCTGCTGCTGGTGTGCCCTTTGTTCTGTCAGAGTTTGTACAGTGATGGATGAGTTAGGATACAAAGCACACCGAGGGTCATTACACGCAGCCCAGCGGAGGCCTTTCACAGCGCGACACCTACGGAGAAATGAGCTCCACAAGAGGCAGATACCATCACAGTGTGGCAGTGATGGAGCTAACACACCTAGCATACACACACTCACACACAAAGCTCCACTCAAAGCTCCACACATGCACACAGAGATAAGCTGTCTCAGACGCTTCATCTGCAAGTTTTCTCTTTTTTTTGTTTTTCCTCCCTCCAACATTCACATCTGTACAAACAAAGGGAGACAAACATGAACAGACGGAATCAAAAAATATGGCAGACTGTTGTCACAGGAGTCGATTCAACAATCAGTGAAATGAGCCGACTGTGATGCACAAACGTGATGCATCAAAACAGTGATCACAACAGCAGAGAGCTCCAACACATGAAGGTTAAAGGTCAAACTTTAACACTTGGAAATCTTGCTTTATTACAAGATTGATTCAGGTGTTTACACATCACACAGTAGACAACCAGTAAGTTGGTTTGTGAATTGCTCTTTGGTCGTTTTGGCATTGGAACAGTTGCCATATTATTGTTTTTTAGAGCCAAAAAAGGGGTGCAGGGTCTTATCACACATTGATTTATAAGCTGAAGTGTTATCTTAATCCGCTAGCCAGATTATGCTTCAGCATAATTTACAGTATGAACCACAGGCGGATGTTGGCCATTCGGCTAATGTCAAATAAATTCATTTTGCACCATGAGCGCTTTGCAAATGTTTAGCATGCTAAGCTAACATTGTGATCAAGGTAAACAAGAGCTACAAATGCAATGCTAACTGAAAAAAGTTTAGCATGTAAAGATTTGCATGCTAAACATGAGAGCGTTATTTCTCAGACTAGTCTGAAGAAGAGCGTGTTTGCTCCAAACGTCCCCTATCAATAGAGCCTTTAAACGGGAGCTCCTTGGTGTGCAGATCTTGTTTGCTTCATGTTTTTAAGGACGTTGACATGTTATTGTATTTGGGTAACCCATGCAGTACTGTAGGTGCAGACTTGTGGAGCGGTTTGCATTTCTGCAATATGGTGACCATGGTGTGTCATCCTATTGCATCAGCTGCCCGTGCCTTGTTGTTGTTGATGTTGAGGCTCTTGCATATTTGTATTTATCTGGAAGCCTGCCATGCAATGTTTTATGCCTTTGGAGATTACAAAATGTACTTTTGATGGTTTAGTAACTTTTCATTGATGCTCTGCAAATGATCGCCCTGAGGTTTTTGCACGAGTTAAGCCGACAATTTATCCAAATCTTCCTCAGGAATTAATAAAGTATCTGACTCGTTCTGATGATGATGCTATTTAATTGATTTAAGACTATGGATACATCAAATGACTTAAAGTCTTCTATAAAACCCACAACATGTAACTTCTCAGAGATTGTTTATCATCAAGAGATGATGTCGTCAGATCATTGCAGTAATTACAGAGAAAGTGCAGCTTAAGACATGTCTGCATTGGCTTTGTTACGCAACTGCAGTTGTTGCTGTTCGGTGCAAATGCAATCTGAAGCTTCAGTGTGCATGTCTGTTCTCTGACCCACGCCACATTTCCCACACGTATTAGTCCAGACAAAGTCAAAAGGTCTAAATAAAAATCAGTTAGAGCCCCAAAGGGCAAAAAAATCAGCGAATTAAAAAAGAACGAGGGGTGAGGACAACAACGGGTACATCTCATTATTTTTAGCAGCACAGCTGGATTTAATCACAGATCCAATAGGATGAACTAAATCAAGTGCACTGGGTTTAATTAGGGACACGGGGTCCAGCCACTACAGTCACTTTTTTCTTTGTGCAGAAAAAGAAAGCAGAAGATGATGAGTACCCTCCATGTTTCAAGCTGTTTCAATTTACAAACATGAGCCTGAAGGACTAATGCAGGACATTAAAAGTACAATAAATCCAGAACGCCGCTGCTCGACTTCTCACACACTCCCTCCGGCACTTGTCACCACATCACCCCCGTCCTTCATAACCTCCACTGGCCCCCCCTATCTCCCCAGCGTATCCCCTTCAAACTCCTCATCATCACCTTTAAAGCCCCCCCCCCCACCTGAGCTCCTCCACTGGCACACTCCCACCTGCACTCTCAGGTCTGCTAATGCAAACCTCCTGTCCCCCCATGCAGGACAAACCATCGGTCCTGGGGGGACAGGGCCTTCTCTATTGCCTCTATTGCCCATTGCCCCCCCATTGCCCCCACCCCACCTCACTCACTTCAACATCACTAACAAACTCTGTTCTCATCCTCCGTCTCCTACATTATGTCTTCCCTGTTTTGTTTTCACTCTTTTGTTTGGTTGTTATTCTTTGTTCAGCATGCTTTAAAGCCTTCACATGAGCCTCCTTGTGTTGTATATTGTACAGATGTTCCTCCATTCCTGCAGCACTCTGCAGGTTTCTGTATGTGTGCATTTACTGCTGTAAGCTCAGATGAAAGTCATCTCTCCTGGGATTCAAACATGGCATGACAGAGGACAGAGGAAAGAAAAAGGGTGAATAAAATCACTTTTTTTCCACACACTTTCTGCAGGAACTATTTTTTTAAATCTGTAAGATGTGAAAACAACTCAAGAGATTCCAGCTGATGTGTGTCTGCAGTGAACCATGAGAAATGATACTCACTAACAGGGGCTGAATATTTGGATAAAACACAGTAAACAGCTTCTGACAGCACCTCCTCACCTCATTACATAACAGAATAACATTTTAGGTAAAGGGTACATTTTAATGTCCACATGAAAAAAAGAAAACGGTGATCTGAGCACAACTTAAGAGTCAGGTGGAACGGGACGTGTGTGGGTGTTCTGGATTTACTGATGGTAAGCAGAGAAGACAAGCAGAGCCACTGCTGTAAAAGTGTCCTCATGTGAACCGGATCAAAGCTCAGGAGAGATTCTGGGAATCAGCCGCTTCTCCATGTTACAAAATCCTCCAATATCCATGAAACCAAGCTTCTGCAGACAATGTTCTGGCTTCTAAAGGAGGTAAACAAAACACTTAGGTGCTTGCATAAGGATTGAGCGTCTTATTATATTCAAACGGATTATCTTTTATGCTCATATTTTGTAGTTTTTGAGAGAAATCGGGAGAGAGAGAAGTGAAGCTCAGTAAGTCAGCAGGTTTTAGAGAACATTGTATCCAGTACCTCTGTCTTCTATCTTAGTGAGCTTTGGTAATAAAACGAATGGTAGCCTTTCTCAGTGTCATGGCCTGAAGAGAGCTTTAGCCTCAGATTAAATTAACACAACGGTTCAAGTTAGGACAGCTGTGACTCAGCACTCTATCACGCCCCTTAATCCTGCTGCCACAGGGCACATCAGTCAATACCACACATCTGGACCTCGACTGTTTGACTTTGTTTTTCACAGAATTAAGCATCCTTGCAAAAGTGCTACTTTGAACACAATCATGCACATTTTAAAGTAATAATATAAGCAACAACCTTCTGTTTTGATTTTATTAAGGATAAGTGTTTTTCATAATAAGGCCATAGCTGAACTAATTGACAACGTTTTGTTAAGAGGCTTAAAACCCGCCTCAGCTCCAGCTCTCAGCCTGTCGTTAGGTTGACTGAAAGTTAGGATGAGACAGCATTTCCAACATGGAGACCGCTATCGATGTGACTCCAGCGCCCCCTGCAGGAACAGACGGCTGAGGTCACTCAGGCTTAGTCCGTTAATATTTACAGTCTATGCTCATAACGTGCTTCAATCTCATGGACTATTCATTCATTTATCTGGTTTAAAAGGAAATGGATATGAACACAGGGAAGCCAAAATTACAGGAAAAAATAATACTGCACCAAATGAGTAATGCGTTTGCTAAACGTTAGCTTAAAATGTACTTTCCAAATGTTTGGACACATAAGCCACATGTCATATAAGGCTACATTTTGTCCTGATATAATGCTGAGAGTGAGATAAAGTGAAAGTCACTGGGATCCAGTGTGTTCAAAACACACAATAAGTGAAAGGGATTTTTCTCAGAACAGCAAACACAGAGAAGAATTGAGTTGCCCTCCGCCTTCACCTCGGTGTCAGACACAGGTCATTTCAATCAGTGGACTGTTATTTACACTTTCTGAGCATTTAAGGACATTTGAACACGTGGAAATAACGAAGACGATAAATAGGTAATTCAGCTCCACACATCACTTTCTCTCTCCCTCCTCTTACCTCTTGAAGTGGCTGAGCAGGGCGCCGACCAGCTCCCCGATTCGGCTCTCGTTGGCGGGCACCATCCCCTGCAGGCACACCACCAGATCCCGGCTGTCCTTGGTGTGGAACACGACCAGCTGGTCCTTCCCAGGAGACACGCTCACTCCGGTCACCTGAGACAGAGAGATAGAGGACGCACGATTAAACACAGGTGAAGGTGTTCACACGGAGAGCATACACAGAAACACAAACATGTGGAAAAAAGGGCAGTAATGTGTGTGTGGGGAAAGTAAACCATCTGTACCATAAACACACAAACAACACAACACCGGTGCTGCAGATGGATGTTAAATATGAGTCTGTTTGAGGTCTCTGCCTGATAAACTTGTGGACGAGCAGTTTTTTTCTTGTCACAGTCTTTTTCTAAATGTCACCGACTGCTGTCCTCTCAGTGGATTAATCTTTGTTTATAATATAACAAAAAACTATAAGGTCTACTCTCAAAGTGTCTTGAGATATGTTATGAATTAGACTGATTGATTGAAACAGAAAATGCTAAAAATGGCAAATGCTAAAAATGCAAAGAACCTCAGTATATCGAGGGCTTTTCCAAAATGGCCACTGAGACCGTCAGCTTCATAATGCCCTACCCAGAAACCAATGAGTGATGTCACTGAGACTACTTCCATGTTTCATACAAGCTACAGGGATGCTGCAGCAGAAAACAAACGTTTTACTAGAAATGGTATCAAAAAGCACAGAAGAACTGAAAACTTTGACAACCTGAGCTTTTCATTTAGATATAAAGAAACAAAAAATATGGCACTGAAAAAAAGATGAGCAAGTGGTCTAATACCTAGTCTCTACTGGTGTTTTGGATTGTTCCATCCCAAGGCTCAAATCAGCACTAGCAGTAAAGATTTATTGATCAGTATCCCAAAGGAGTCGATCGATTTTCTTCCACCCAGAGCCTCCAAACAACAAACCGATGGAGAGAAGCCGAGCCAAAAGGGGAATCCCAGTTTGTTGCGGTTGGCTTGTTTTGGCTTAAAAGCTCTCCAAAACAGACACAAATAGGAAGACACTCGATATCTCCACCTGTAAACACATCTGAGGAGGAGAGGAGCTTATTATGTCTCCATTTTCTGCCTCTTTTATCCTCCTTAAAGCTGTTGTTCTCCTTTCTTTAAATCTTTGCCTCTTCTGTCAGCTCCTCCCTTTGGTTTATTTCCTCTCTTCATTTGTCTTTCAGGCTGTGTTTGTTGAAGAAACCGCCACAGGGCAGGCAGTCAGGTGCATTAATATCCTCTCACCAGACTGCGATGCTGAGACTAATTCACCATCAGGGGGAGGACAGGTTGTTACCGCCGGCTAAAACAACCAGCTAGCTTATTTAGCTCCAACATGTTGCCTGCGACTTCCCAAACAAACACTTCACATAATCACCATGAATTAAAGCCTGAAGCCGGGGCCTCTCCGTCGAGCAATCCACCCGCAGTTAATTACAGAGAGACGATTACATTTACATTTATATTAAAGGCTTAATTGATTGGAACGACAGTCAGTGTCCTAATGAGCTGCGTAATGATACATTCTCGTTCGTTTCCTTGTCTAATTTTTTGACTTGATTCACCAAATTAGTTTTAGAAAGTTGGAAGTCAGTAAGAGGCGTTTATCCGGCCGGCCATCTGTTCAAGTGATTGTCTGTCACATAAATCCAACAAATATCGAGGACGATGATCCATTTAACTCGTGAAATAAGACTTATTTTTTGCTAGTATGTGTTGATAACAGAAGGTCTCTACACACTGAGGGACCTGCAGGGTTTTTTTTTGATTGAGATCACTGATTGAGATGGATCTCATAAAATCTTTGTCTTAATCTGTATTGGACTATCAATTTTCTTTAATTTGAGGCGTGGACGAGAAAAACAATGATAACCTTATGAAAAGCAACTTTTTATGAGGGTCGCTTAGAGTCGAGCAAAAATGCCAGATATTTCTGAGTTGCAGCTCCTTAACTGTGAAGATTTTCTGCTTTTCCTGACATTTTTTCATCAGCCAAACAATATTACTGATTGAAGGGAAAAAAAGAGGAGTTGAAATCTTAACTAAAAGGACAAAAGTCCAGATTCTTTCCAAGGCCAATATCAGTATTTTGATCAGTATCAAAGGAATATCTGTTAGGGAGTCCTGATATATCTGCAAAAGGCTAACGTTTCATCATCTCTACATATTCATATATATTTCACATAGTTGATATAGATTTGTGAAAACTGAAAGAAGTAATCTTAAAGGAGACATATTATGAACAATCCACTTTGTTTTTGAAGATATATTTTGGTAACCTGAGAGTCTACTACCCACAAAATGTGAAATAAACCCATCCAGTCCTTTGTTTGTGGTCTGCATAAGTCTTACAATACAGAGGAAAATGCTTTGTTTCAAATGTGCTCTCCTTGTGATGTCACAGTGGGATTCTGGTAAAAAAAAAATCCCCTCCCCTCCACCCATGGACTCCACCCCCAGCCTAGAGCAAAACTTTTGAGTAGTTCCGTCATTTTTATTCTCTCTACAGAGGAGTGATGTCTACTGGGAAAACTCAGGGGGGGGGTCATTACATTTAAAGAGACACACACACCAAAACAGAGCGTTTTGAGAGAGCTGGTTTATTCAGGGTCACAAACCTCCTCTGGTGCTTGATTCATGTTATATTTTGACCAAAGCACAGCACAGATGTTTCATTTAGACCACAGGGGGACTGTTTGAAAAGGTGGAGAAGGGGGGATGATATGTCCTTTTTAAAATATCCGATACTCATACTACATTTTCTTTTGTTATTTTTTGTGAGTGTGCAGGCTGCATCATAAACACCTCTTTTTATTATTATTTTCTGTCCATGTGTTGACCCCTTAAGTAAATGCTGTGTGCAAAACTATTTGCTGGTTTTCTTTTATACGATCAAACAACTGTAGACTTGTCTTTTATGCGTCTCATGCCTCTGCTTAGCCTTTTTATTAAAACCACTACGAAGGTCTCAAGTAGGATATTAAATTCAAGTTGAAACAAGTTGACCCGTGAGGACTGTTTGCTCACGTCTCGTTACCATATTTAAATGCCACGATCCTAAACGGGTCTATTTTCAGTAAAAGCACTGCTGTTGAAAATCCGGACTATTGTTCAGCGATCAGACCGCAGCACAAAGGTTTAAGTCTTCTGCTCTCGGCTCTGATCCGCTCTGCTCTGTTGTCATGTGGACTTCAATTTGAAACAGCAGGTTCTCGCCGTGCAGTCTTTAGGGAACAACTTCTTGGTTATGTAACACCTACAACACAACAGCCCTGTTAAAATAGAAAGAGGGAAAAGCAGCGAGAACAAAAAACGGTCGGGGGCTGTGCAATTAAATGATGATAATACAATGAGCTAAGTGAGGCTACAAGGGCACCACTGAGCCACTTTGTCATGTTTACAGGGCAAAAATAGTCCCATTGCCCTTTAGATTAATGAATATTTGAGCAGAGTTACTATTTATGCTTCAACACCTTCTAATCCTGATCCTTGTGCGCTGTTTTGCATAATTTGAGAGATATTTTCAGTCACTCTTTTGTTCAATTTATTTTTTCTACAACAGCTGCACATGCACGCTATTCATCTCATTTAATAAAGATACATTCTGTAAGGTGGCCCTGCAGCTGTGGGTGGTGATGAGTGTAGAAAAAAAAAACACACACACCTATGAGAAGAGACAAATGGGGGAATGAGAGAAGAAAGAAAAAAAGGGGAAGGAAGAGCGAGCGCCTCAGGGATAACAAACAATCCTCACCGGGGAAAAAAAAGGGGGGAGGAAGCAGGAGAGAGAGAGAGAGAGAGAGAGAGCACACACATGCCTGAACGACACCAGACATCAGCTGATCTGCCCTGCCGCTCGGTATCCATGACAACATGTCTCCCGGGAAGTTGGCATGACAACCACGGGGAAGTGAGAAGCGGCGCGGCACAGCGAGGAAGAGGAGAGAGGGAAAAAAGAAGCGAGGGAGTGAGGTGGGGATGAGTGAAAGAGGAGGAGGAGGAGGAAGCAGGAAAATGGGGGAATGGGGGAATGTGAGAAAGGAAAGGAAACACAGTGAAAAGCAGGGAGATGAGTCACTGATGCACCATTTCCTTATCTCTGTATTTGTTTTACTTAACGAGAAAAACAATAACAACAATAACACTGACGGTGCATCGATCCTGCAGGAGCAACAACAGTAAATACAATTTTTTCAGGTATAGCCAAGGGGATTCTGCTGTGTTAGCCTATCGATGCTAATCAACAACAAGCTAACTGCTCTCCCCTCTGTTTGACCTCCTTGGATCGATACCTCCGCGTCACGCTGCTGTGGCTCTCAGCCTATACAGCACATCTCTATCACTACCTACTCCCCCCCCCCCCATGTCTTTCTATTAAGGCTTTTTAGTGCTTTTAATCATAGCCAATTACTGGAGGAGATTTTGTGTTATTCTGTTAAACTGTGTGTTATATCATTTATTATGTTTGGCTTTTTTGAATGGGTGTGTATGTGACGTCAGGGCTTCTGAAAACAGCCTCAAGTGGACACTTGATGAACTGCAGGTTTTTTTGCACTTCCACATTGGCTTAATTTTTCAACACCGGAGGTTTCCTCTTGGTTCTACCTTAAGTTATGGTTGGAGGTTTATCCTGACTAGTAGAGCCAAACTAAACAAAAAAATGTGTCACCGGTGAAGATCATCATGATGAGGTCATAACTTTAGCCAACATCCTTAATCTCCAGCTAGTGTAAAATTACAGTGACACGCTGCACGAGGAAAACAAAAGAGGGATTAAAAATCAAAGTCATCCTTTGTTTCTGAGGGATTAAATCCATCATGGAGAACTCATCCCTGACGCTGAACAGCCGGTAAAACCTTCTGCTCCTCCTCATCCTCCGAGCTACATGAAAGATCCAAGTCTTCACTTCTGCCTACATTAGAACTATCTCAAGTGGTACAAAACCCAGAAATGTCAGGAGTGTGAAACCCTAAATTAGTAATTAGATTCAAACTAGGCTGTGTTTTATTTTATGCATAACTCAAGTGCAGATATGTAAGTGTGAAAATCCAAATAAATCTGAATTCTTTGCACCAAAAAACAGCCCTGAGACCTTTTAACATTCGTAGTGGTTATAAGGGGGGTGAGAAAAATGCAGAAAATTGCTCCACCCTGGCGTAAAATGTGGTTATAGTGTGAATGCTGGGCTTTGAGTGTACTTCACAACTCTTGCTGTGCCGCTGTCAATGTGTGAAAGCTGCAAACCAAACTATGTGCCCCCTTGTCCTCCTACAGCGCTGATGGCTCCCCATATGCTGCGTTAGCCTCATCTATCAACTCAAGTGTGTGTGTGCTCGTGTTGTTGTGTGTGTCTCCCTTCCTCTCTGTGAATGAACAGTAACTACAAATCTCTTTAACTCACGCTGCTCTCTCTCTCTGCCACCATCTGCCTGGACTCCATCACCACATTTCACCTGCAGACATTCAGGTGTCTCTCTATTTCTCTTCCTGTCACTGTGTCAGATTGAACACCGGGGCGTCGTGTCACAGTCGTCACTGCACACCGAGCTTCATATCTCACTTACCTCAGCTGACAACGGGGGCGTAACCCGGCTCACAGATTTAATGCATTACACCTTCCACTTCCTGTCTCATCGCTGCCTCACCTCCAAGGGTCTGAGGAGCGGATAAACTGCGTGAGCAATATTTGAGTCATAGCTGAGCAGGAGATGGACCTTTAAGAAATATCAATATTCTCATGAGCATTAATTATGTCTCTGTTTGCGGTCTTAAGAAGCTTTGAAAGTCCATACGCCTTCAGCTGCAGAAATAAGTTTGTAAAAGATTTATTTTGCAACATATTGTCCAGTAATCACCTCCAAAAAAAGGGATGCAATATAATACTTGTGAATCCATTAAATATGGAAATACAGCTGGAAAAGAGTGTCTGTAAAATGATCTGTCATTTGTTGAATCTGCACAGAAATGTTCTGCTGATGGTTTTTAACGAGGTTTATCTGCTGGAACATTTCTGAGACGGGCGTAATGACTCAGGTCTTCTAGTGGAAACATCACAACAACGTCAAGACTTCAGGAACTCTAATGAGCGTGATGTTAATCTCCACATTTGACTCTCAACATGGAAGCAATTAAAGAATATTTCCTCAAATGTCAAACTGATTTTTTTCTCCTCAGGTCAAATGAAAATGTTAAGAACAGTATTATGATAATTACAACAATTAATTAGAGGAAAAACATGATGAATGATTTTTATATTCTTAATGTCGCTGGATTTGTCAGTGTTTGTGAAATAAACAAACATGTAGCATGAAGTCAAAATACACACACACACACACACACACACACACACACACACACACACACACACACACAAACAGACACACAAACACAGAACAGGCTAAACACACACACAAACACACGCACACAAACAGACACACAAACACAGAACAGGCTAAACACACACACACACACAAACACACGCACACAAACAGACACACAAACAGACACACAAACACAGAACAGGCTAAACACACACGCACACAGGTGCACACACACACACTAGGCTAAACAAACAAACACATAAACACACACACACAAAAACAGACACAAACACAGACACAAACACACATACGCACCACACACGCACACAGAACAGGCTAATTACACACACACACAAACAGGGACAACACACAGATAAATAGACAGAACACACACACATAAACATGAACAACACACACGCACACACAAACAGAAACACACACAAACAAACACATTAGGCTAAACACACACACACACACACACACACAAACAGGCACACAGACACACACACATAAACAGACACAACACACACATACAAACATGAACAACACACACACACACACACACACACACACACAGTGGCACGTTCACCATGGAAACAGCCTCGTGTGCAGGGAGCATGTAGCAGCCTTAATGGGCCTATCACAGAGTGAACATGAATTAAAACCGGCCAATTGTGGAGCTGAATGAGATCTTCGCACATCGACAGTCAGAGTCAGGAGAGAGATAACAACGCTGTCACCTCTCACACACATTCAGGTACACACTGTCTCACATATACTGATAATACACACCTGTAGCCTAAAGACAGATGACATACTTTCTCTACAGTATGCTTCAATTGACAGGAATTCAAAGAACTGTACATTATAGGACGGATATCAAACATAATCCTTTTAGTTTGCTGAGTGTTCAGTAATTACACCGGGCAGTTCATACATTTTATTCCATTAGAGTGGGCTTTGAGAGCTCTCCAGCCGATATTCAGTACAGTCTGCGTATAATGAGATCGTCTTTGTAATTAATCTTTCCCAGAAGCAGTACAGTCCATAACGTAGAGATAATCCCAACGCCAGATTACTGCTGCTCATTTATCCACGTCTGCAAGGTTTAGGATTAAAAACACATCTCTGCCAGTCGTTTAATATGTGAAAAAAAAGCATTTAATGGCTATAATCTACAACTGAAAACAAGCTGAACATGCCACCAGGGGTGCATCTAGACTTTTTTTTTGACTGGGGTGGCCAATCAGACTTCAAGGCTGACTCCTCCCCTCACAAATAAAAGTTGTTTAATTGAGGGACTAGAGAAAAGAAGAATAACATACTGTACTCACTGCTTAACTGTGTTTCTAGATCACGCTCATTTCAGGTAAATTTACATGCAGTGTGAAGATACCAGCATAATAAAGATCGCTAGCATTAGCATGCTAACACAACAATGCAGCGCGAGTTGTTTTGGTTTCATGCTGGTGCTCAAGGGCGACATCTGCTGGATCAAAAAAATCACATAAAAAGCCTTTAAGCACAATCATTCTATTAACTTTGTCTCTTGACGATACAGAATCATCCACACACTGAAACTTCAGTTCAGCTGGTGTATGTAACGTCTTTTAAAATCTGCATCTTATGAGCCTCACTGTGTGCAGCGCCTCGTGTTTGAGATAAAGCAGGGAGTGAATCAGAAAAGGTTGTATCATACGTTGTAGAGGGGGATGCTCTTCATGGGTTTGTACTGCTTCAGGGGGTCCATCTTGTACAGGTGGCGGTCAGTGATGAGCACCGTCCGGTCCTCCGCCTTGTGGAAACGGTTGATCTGGGAAAAACACAAAAGCCGCTCATTAATCACACTGCAGGATCCGAGCTCACATCCAAACACCCTGCAGGGAGAATGTGAAGAGCAGGAGCAGCATGGTTTGTTTGTTTTGTAGAGACGAGATGCATGTTGTGACTCTGTGGTTAGTGGAGGATAAAAGGCCCCTGAACAGGACTCCTACCTTTCGCACGTTGCAGGAGAATAAAACTCTCATGAATTTGTCTTTCCGCTGCAACTCGCTGGAAACAAGTGTGAAAGATGAAGCGGAGTCGGGGCTGTCTCGCTTCTGTAGGAAAGAGAAAAAACACTTTTCAAGGAGTAGGTAAAGATGATTGGAAAGGACAAGTTTGTAATCTTGTTTTTATTTCGCTCTCTCTCGTGAATATATCGAGATTATAATACTGCTATTGTCCAACCCTCCCACAAAACGAACTGCCAGACCACCTACTCACCAGGTAGTTTCCTTCCCAGGCCCTCTGTAGTCCCAAGTCGACCCTCTGGCCCTTCAGAGCCTCCAGGCAGGCTACCTTGGCTCTCACCTGCAGGGCCTCTTCTGGAGACAGACCTTTGATCAGCGTCCACGCCCACCACCTGGAGGCAAAGCGCATCAAAACACACACACACACACACACACAAAGAAAAAAAGTCAGAAGAAGAAATCGACTTCCTTTTATGATTTGACTGCACGACAACCCCGGTGGTTCAGGAACTGCAGCAGACCCCAAGCTGTGCTCTGCTAATCGGCCTTTCACTCAGAGATCCTGACGGCCGACATCATTCCGGACGGAGATTTTCTCTCTGTGCTCAGCTTCAAATGTGAAAAAAAAAAAAAAGCCAACAAAGAAACATGGACTGAAAGGCAGTGATGAGTCTCTGAAGAGGAAGGGAAAAATCAATGCCCAGTGTGAGCCACAGGCAGGAGGAAACATGCACACTTCTTCAAATGGACTCATGTGGATGTAGAATCACACTCGAGGCCATAAGTCCCCTCCTGTGTTTGCTTTCTGATCCAATATTTATTCGAGCCAATTTGAGATTTTCATTAAAAAAAGACATTTGTAAACATTTATTTTGAAACACTCAATTCTTTGCCTCTCTCTTAAACTCTGGATTTGAGAAGAGATGGTTGAAAACAGCAGCTCTGAACTGCCTGCAACCTTTAAAGAGGACATATCATCCCCCCTTCTCCAGCTTTTCAAACAGTCCCTCTGTGGTCTAAATGAAACATCTGTGCTGTGCTTTGCTCAAAATATAACATGAATCAAGCACCAGAGGAGGTTTGTGACCCTGTAGAAACCAGCTCTCTCAGAACACTCTGTTTTGGTGTGTGTGTCTCTTTAAATGCAATGAGCCTCCCCCTGAGTCTTCCCTGTAGACATCACTCCTCTATAGCGAGAATAAAAATGGCGGACCTGATCAAAAGTTTTGTTCTAGGCTGGGGTGGAGTCCATCGGTGGAGATATCAGAGGAGGGGAGGGGATTTTATTTTTTATCAGAATCCCACTGTGACATCACAAGGAGAGCACATTAGAAACAGAACATTTTCCTCTGTGTTGTAAGACTTATGCAGACCACAAACAAAGGACTGGATGGATTTATTTCACATTTTGTGGGTCGATAGACACTCAGGTTACCCAAATAAATGTTATATATATATATATATATATATATATATATATGAATTTAAAGGTAAAGTTACTAATCTTGAAATTGTCACATTGTCTGTGTACCTGTTATAGATGTTCCTGAGAGCCTCCTCAAACTTTCTCAGGACTTTCGGAGGCGTTGGCCACTTCACGTGTCTGCCGTAATCCTTCATAGATCGCACGTTTTTGAAGCGCCGGTTCACCTCCTTGATGTATGTTTTGACCTTGTACCGTCGGTACGCCCGCAGGATGACCAGGGCCGCTTTCATCCGCCGGTATCGCATCCTGGCTAGGGTGCCCCGCCACACCTGGAGACACAGGAGGAGATGGAGAACATGTATGATACTGCTGCTACTGCAGAGATAGCACACTAATGGGATAAACTTTAAATGTCAATAATTCTTAGTGGGAGCTTTAACTTGATCCATGTTTGACTGAAAACTTGGTTTCTTAAGGGTTACAAAGAGCCAAGAGGGCTGATAAAAAACTTCTAACATCTGACATAAATGTGTGAAATAAGAGGGTAGAACTTTATCTACTGGAAATGTTTTTACTAGCACAGAGGGATCGGGGAATATTTAGAGCTGCTGTATAGACATTTCTTATTAATGTGGCCATTTTAAGGTCTTATAGAGCGGTGATTAATAGCTCGCTATAAAAAGGTAAAACCTCTGCACGCATTTAAGAATTATGAGGAGTGAAAGCACAAAGTAAAAGCCGTAAATTCAGATCGATGTTGCTACAATAACTAATATGTTAAAGTGTATTTCAGCATGTCAAACTGCCATTCTCATAATTTACACTCCTACAGGAAACTCATGTTTCTCATTACTAAACGTTAAAACACATGTTTTACATTTGTATTTGTTGTATATCAGGGGTTTGTTGTGTCTGGATTACATGGATTCAGAACAAAACAAGGTCTAAAAATAAGGACCCCAAAGTCTGCCTGTAACCAAACATAGGTTGAATGGCTATCAGACCCTTTAAAACATGAATAATAAATGTAAGTGGGACCCAGGGGAGCCATAACTCCTGATCCTAGACCTCAATAAAATCCCCACCATATGCTGCCCCTCTTACTGTATTCTCTCTCTCTCTCACGTGCACAATGTCTTAATTATTTACATGATTGTTAGACTACGTCGAACCTTAATAATCAGTGAAGATTGCATTTAGAGTCACAAACCAACAGACACAGGTTACAGATAACGATGCATGGTGCATCGAAGGCTCACTCCTGTATATTCAATCCAAGCAGTGAGCAGAATAATCACGGAGAACAATTTAATCTTTCAGAGTGCGGGGGTAGGCCAGAGGCTCCGACAAGGATTTCTTGCATTTGCATATTAAAAGTGTGGAGGATTCAGTTTCCACCTGATGAGACCGGTGCTGAGATAATTGGCAGAGAAGAAAAGAAGTCATGCAGCAGCGGAATAAGGAAGCAACAGATTCATTCATGTGATTTATATAACCTTTTGTTGCACCACGTCTGCAGAGAAAGTCTCACTTTTCATTGTAAGAAATGTTGCATGAAGCCATATCGAAGATCTAGTTAAGACCATGTTGTGTTTAAAAAAAAAAAGGACGACTATTTAGACTCCTTTGCCTTAGAGCAGGGGTGGGCAACTGGGGGCCCGGGGGCCACATGTGACCCCATCAACCCTCAGGTCAATTTTTACATATCCATTAATTAATAAACCTGAAGAAAACTTGACAAAATCTGCCATGAAATCATGAAAAACAGAAATATGTCCATAATAATTAATCAAATTGAGTTAAATTTGAGACATAATTGACTGCAATCGTTTTTTGTATAGTACAATTTAGCCCTCTGGCAGTGAGAATTTAATTAATGTGGCCTTGATGTGACCAAAGTTGCCCATCCCTGCCTTAGAGTTTATGTAATAATGTACTAAGTCTAGAAATCTGAAATCTGTCCAAATGTCCACACATAGGACCTCGAGCTGACTGATCTTCTTTTTCTGAAAGAAATCTTGGAATCAGGTAAAAAGAGTCAGAATAGCCATTGGCCTTCTTCACTGTACATGTCTGTGTGTCTGTTAAGAAATTAAAATCATGAGATATTTAAATTAACAGAAGAGTTCCTTTGAAAGCTAGTCACATTTTCTCAAGCTTAAGCCCCCCTCAGGTGTATTTTTACATTTTAGGGATATTTGAAACGTTCTTATGTCAGTTGACTACCTTTATTTGACTTCAAAATGTCTATTCAGAAACCAATGGGTGACATCACAGAGACTACGTCCATATGTTATACAGTCTGTTCTCTTGTCCCCAGGGGAGCCTTTACAAAGAGTTTTGACCACAACCCCATTTTCTGTTTCAAAGTGGACTTAAACACTGTAGAGTATAAAGTCTCTTACTGTCAGTGTGACTTTAAATAAACACTTTATAAACCAAATAACATGAAACATAGACTGTTAAATGTATCTTAAATCTTTTCTCTTGCTTTATCTACCAAAGACAAAACAATCTTGAAAATCTCTCCCCTGTTATTTCTTTCTGTTTATGAGAAGCAAACCCACATCAGGTTTAAAAATAGCTCCCCTCTTGCTGTGTTACAGTAAGTCTCAAATGTTACTTCTCCGTTTAAAGGGCAGCAGACGACCTTCTCCCCCCCGTTTCCTCCACGGTGCTCTATCTCTAATACGTAATGGATGAGAGTGAGAAAAGAGGAGCGGCCACTTATGCATCAATAATCGACCCCTCCATTGACTCTCCCACATGCTCAGGGTGGCAGGAGTGAGAGGAATGAACGCGCTTGTCCGGAGGACTCGGTGAACGAGGTTAGAAGTTACTCTCATTTAAATTCAGACTGTATTCAGAGGGTTACAGTTAATTAGGCAGCGTTTTAAGAGCAGGTGATGGGTCAAAAATGACTGTCAAAAAGGCCCAGGTGGAAATGCTAGACTACATTTCCTTTTCTGCTCGAAAGGAGCTGCAGGTCAGACTTTAACCTGGGTCACCTGCTTGGAGGACGTCAGCATCTATACATGAGGTGACCTAACAGGGGATGACATTTTTGAAGGCTCTCAAATCTGTGGTTGCATTTCCAGAAAAGATGACCTCAAACATTTCCTGTTGCATCTCACTTCTCATCGGGTCTTGTTGTTTTTGATTTGCTAGCAGGTTTAGTCCTCAGCATTAAGGCTTCGTTGGGCTTGGATGCTGATGTTACAAAGGTTGTATACTTTGATCTGTAACTGCTTAAATTAGAAGCAGGGTGGATGAAATAAATAATCTGCCAGAATTTGACCAATCACAAATGTTCTGCACCGCAAACCACACCCCAAATGTTTTCATTTCTTTGAGAAATTACCAACGCAGGGACTTTTGGGGTAAAAAATGTCATTTAAGTTAGTAGTTAAAACTCTTGTTTCTTCACTAAAAATGCACCCAGTTCCTACAAATGTTCCTAATTCCTGTCAAAAGATTCTGCAGTGGCTTAAGGCTGCATCATACCTAGAATTCAAACCTCTTAAGGTTAGTGAATAAGACAAATCTTGTGTTGTCACTATTTAATTTGATCTATTTTAATCATTTGCAGCTTTTAATTCATAATTTCCATGTTGATTTCTAAAATGCATTTCCTGTTAAAGCCTCTGAGAGCGGCAGCTGATGTGATTTATGTTGTGGTTTAATGGATATGCTAGAGTTACAGAAAATGAGAAGAATACTGAGCAGCATTTTCGTCTTCATTATCAATAATCTCAATCAACGACAGGAAGGGAAGGAGAAGAAGGAAATAGAAGACGGCCAATAAAAATAATCATGTGCTGCAGACGGAGGCCTCGTGTAAGGATCGGATGAAACAACCATGACGGTTTTGATTGGACCACAAGCAACTGGACCACTTATCTTATCTATTCAGTTACACCTACTGCTACTTGTGTTGTGTTGCTGCAACACCCGATTCCTCCCTTATCTTATCTCTTATCTTAAAATATCACAGTAATTAAATGTTGTCTCCTTTTCATTGCAAACCACTTGTCCAACCGATCACACACAAACAGTCCCGCCCCACATGAAACACCAAATAACAAAGCAGAAATGTGGCCAAATTAGATTTCCAGCGAGAGCTTGGTGAAGATGTTGCCTGCATGTCATCCACATGGTGCATCATGTGTCTCTGCCAGATCAACAACTGTGTTTGTCTTTGCTACAAATCAGTAATTACATCGTGAAGCTCTTAGGCAGGAGGGGGGAGGAGCCAAGAGGAGATAAAAAAAACAAAAAACGACCATAAAGCAACAATGAATCACATAAAACATCTCCACTGTCTTCATTAAGGTGTGTGACAGGTGGAAAGTGGCGCAGGGTTAGAATTATGATGGAGCCAATCAACCACCCACACACACACACACACACGCACCATAAAGACATTTTCCAGCCTGGCTGCGATGACACTGGTGAGCCGATGAGGATGACACTCGGGGGAATGTGGATAAATCAGGCCAATAAAAAAGGCCCCCGTCGGTCTGCCCCGTCCTCTTCAGTCCAATAAAGCCATCTGATCATCCTTTCAGAGACTCTGCCATCATGGAGCCCGCCCTCACCACCAACCCCGGGATTTACGAGCTCATCAAAGCCAGATTGGGGGATCTAACATCGCAACAAAGTGGGGCAGATTGCTGTTTTGTTTTTTTTTCTCTTCTTTTTTATACGAGGGGCCGGCTGGTTTGAAAAGCATGCTGGGTAAAAGAGCATTCCCAAATCAAACATGTGCCAGCGCAACAAGCTGGAAGGTGTCTGTCGAGATGATAAAGCCGAGCAGAACACAGACGGGGCTCCATTGACCACGTTCACATGGCGGCCATTTTCCTCACATTAACGCTGGAAAGTAGGCCTCCAGGATACGACACAAATACGGGATGTGCTTTGAAACTGTTCAATGTTAAGATTCGAGATGAACACCATTAGACGACCAAATGTTGTCATCCTTGCTAGTCGCCACCAGAATCACTTGTTGGTAGAAGTCATTTCTGTATTTTTTTATTGGACAACAATGTTGGTTAAATGTTGAGTCTACACTGTTACGTCTGATTTATACTTCTTGGTTGATTCTAAACGGTAGCTCTGTATCTATGTATGTGTAGCCTGACGTGCACCTTCTCAAAAAATATTTAAACCATGGAAACGAGGCAACCACAAGCCCTGTGATTGGACCGCTGGGTAGCAGAGAATTTCCTGCACTTACAACATTTCTTCATCTTCTTAATTTCTTTTCTTACTGGTTTTACTATTTTTATCTTTTACTTATTACAGTCCTTTTATTTATGCTCTTATC